TTGGAACCAGGGCTGATGACCAGGCTGGAGCAATCAGGCCGCGTTTGACCATTTAAGGAGCCGCAGGCAGGCAGCTTGGAAAGGCCTGAATTAGAAAGGCATCCAGCCCTGCGGGGGAGATAAGGAAGCTACTTGGGGCCCTGCTCCCAGGAGTGTGTTATCAGCGCGCTGAAGGCTGTGGCTCCACCTGGGCTGTTGACCCATAGAAAGCCCCCCCCCCCCCCCCCCCCCCCCCCCCCCCCGCTCCGCTGGCCCAGTGGCTAACGGGAGAGCAGGCTTTGTGTCACTCAGCAGGATGGGAGGCTTCCCTCTTTGTAAAAGCAGGTGCTGCTGACCTAAGGCACCACGTGAATGCTCAGCAGGGCCTCCTCGTTTCCTTGTCACTACGACTTGTTCCCCAGTGATGCATGTGGGGAAACTGAGTCTGAGGGGTGAGGGCTGTGCCAGGGTCTCAGCTGGTGGTCGCCCAGCAGAGCTTCTGGGTTAGCTGGGCCCATTATGGGGAGGGAAGGGGTGGGGCCCTTCCCACCCGGCCCTGTCTCTCCCCACAATCCCTGCAGCATCCCATGACTTTCCTGTCTCTGAGTCATCTGTCCCCACCTCCCTCCACTTCTCTGCCCCTTAACTCCTGGTTGTCCCCATTGCCTGGCCCACTTGGCTTTTCTTGTTCTCCCACCCACCTGGGCAGCACAGCTATGCAAAGACAGCCACCAAGCAGCCCATAGGAAGAATGGCTTGTCACTGCCCCACAGCAGGACCCACAGGTCACCCAGGGCATCACAGACACGGATGCCCATCTGACAGCCGACTCCATGTAAACGCAGCAGTAAAGACGCTGGCCTTGCATTTTGTAGACCTTCGCTTGTTTATTTCATCTTTCTAGTTGTTTCTTTCTATTTTATTCTGTAAAAGTATCAGTCTGCAAGGGATCGATAAAGCACAAGGTCCCTCCCTGCATGGCTCAGGAAGTCCCATACACCAGGCCTTTGCCCGAGTTCCTCTGAGTCCCACACCCATATAATACTGGAGGGACGCAAGAGCCCGGCCCAAGAGGCCTTGCTGCCCTGGCTGGGCCCTCTGGCCTCCCCCTGCCCACCCAGGCCTCAGAGAGACTGTCAAAGCACAGTGTGTTCTGCCTGGAAGGGACCATTGTCTTAAGAAGGCAACTACAATGATCAAGAACTAATAAATAAACTCAAGAAATGAACACTGGTTGATATGACCACCTGCCGTCCCCGGGCGTGCTCCGCCAGGCACAGCAGCTCGCCTCCCTGGCCCCTGACACGGGCTCTGCCCACTTGAATGTTTTAGATGCTCTGCTCATCACCAGAGACTTCATATATGGATGTGCAACAGTAGGACATGGGACAGTATACAGCAGTGAAAAGGAATAACCTATAGTTACCTGTGACAATGTGGTTTATCTTAGAAACACAATATTGGATGAAAAAGAACTAATTGCAGGAGACTTCCTGCCACATGCTTCAACTTGTCAAAATCAAGCAAAACAGAACACTACTGTTTACTAGCAATGGTTCTCAACCTTCTGGCCCTTTAAATACAGTTCCTCATGTTGTGACCCAACCATAAAATTATTTTCGTTGCTACTTCATAGCTGTAATGTTGCTACTGTTATGAATCATAATGTAAATATCTGATATGCAGGATGGTCTTAGGCGACCCCTGTGAAAGGGTCGTTCGACCGCCAAAGGGGTCACGACCCACAGGTTGAGAACCGCTGGTTTAGAGATTCATATACACGTGGGATAAAGTGAGGGCATCAGCTTCAGGATAGAGGTTGCCTCTGGGGAGACTGGAGGGAGGTGTGGGAAGGGAGCGAGGGGGTGGGAGGATGTACTCCAGCTTAGGGGTGCCTGGCGCCCAGCCTCGATGAGAAGGGTGACAATGACGGACAGGGTCTCCGCTTGCACGGCCTCCAGGGCGGGCCTCCAGGGCTGGCCACCCAAGGGAGCCTGAATCAAGACCCACACACGAAGCCAGCCGGCCCATGTGGCAGGGTTTCTCTGCCCAGAGCCCCCCTGGCTGCGGGAACCAGCATCAGAGGACTCGGCGCAGATTCCAGCAGGCAGGGAGCCACGTGCGCTCCGGAGGCAGAGCTGGGGATTAGCAGGCTGAGTCACCGCCCGCGGGGGTGGAGGTGACAGGAAAGGATGACAGGTGAGGCGCGCGGTCCAGGGGCGGTGTGCAGTGAAGGGGAATGTGCTGGGATTATAGGGTCCTGGAGGACGGAAGCGTTGGCTGTGTGGCTCCGGCAGCCGCTCCAGCAGAAGGTGCTGGAAAATAAGCAGAGGCATGATGTCACATTAGGAGGGGGAGGGCCCATCCCGGGCTGAGGGTCTGACAGTGAGGGTGGGGGGCTCCTCCCGGGCCGAGGTTCTGATGCTGAGGGTGAAGGGCCCATCCCGGGCCGAGGTTCTGATACTGAGGGTGAAGGGCCCATCCCGGGCTGAGGGTCTGACAGTGAGGGGGAAGGGCCCATCCCGGGCTGAGGGTCTGACAGTGAGGGGGAAGGGCCCATCCCGGGCTGAGGGTCTGACAGTGAGGGGGAAGGGCCCATCCCGGGCTGAGGGTCTGACAGTGAGGGGGAAGGGCCCATCCCGGGCTGAGGGTCTGACAGTGAGGGGGAAGGGCCCATCCCGGGCTGAGGGTCTGACAGTGAGGGGGAAGGGCCCATCCCGGGCTGAGGGTCTGACAGTGAGGGGGAAGGGCCCATCCCGGGCTGAGGGTCTGACAGTGAGGGGGAAGGGCCCATCCCGGGCTGAGGGTCTGACAGTGAGGGGGAAGGGCCCATCCCGGGCTGAGGGTCTGACAGTGAGGGGGAAGGGCCCATCCCGGGCTGAGGGTCTGACAGTGAGGGGGAAGGGCCCATCCCGGGCTGAGGGTCTGACAGTGAGGGGGAAGGGCCCATCCCGGGCTGAGGGTCTGACAGTGAGGGGGAAGGGCCCATCCCGGGCTGAGGGTCTGACAGTGAGGGGGAAGGGCCCATCCCGGGCTGAGGGTCTGACAGTGAGGGGGAAGGGCCCATCCCGGGCTGAGGGTCTGACAGTGAGGGGGAAGGGCCCATCCCGGGCTGAGGGTCTGACAGTGAGGGTGAGGGGGCTCCTCCCGGGCTGAGGTTCTGACAGTGAGGGTGAAGGGCCCATCCCGGGCTGAGGTTCTGACAGTGAGGGGGAAGGGCCCATCCCGGGCCGAGGGTCTGACAGTGAGGGTGCAGGGGGCCCATCCGGGCCGAGGTTCTGACACTGAGGGTGCAGGCCCCACCCCGGGCTGAGGTTCTGACAGTGAGGGTGCAGGGCCCATCCCAGGCCGAGGTTCTGACAGTGAGGGTGCAGGGCCCATCCCAGGAGGGTCTGACAGTGAGGGTGCAGGGCCCACCCCGGGCCGAGGGTCTGACAGTGAGGGTGCAGGGCCCATCCCGGGCCGAGGGTCTGACAGTGAGGGTGCAGGGGGCGGGCCGACACAGAGGATGCTGCCCAGGTCCTTAGTGCAGGGGCGGGTCCTGGACACCCCTTCCCTCTGCAGGTATTGGGCAGAACCAGGGATGTTTACTACGGCCCCACGCTGACTGCTCTCTGGGGACAGCTGCTGCACAGTGGCTGACTCTCCCCCATGAGGAGATGGGGACACGGACAAGGAGGCCCAGCAAGAGCACCGGGTACCACGGAGTCAGTCCCAAGGAAGACAATGCTGGCCCCTCTGCAGTGGCCTCTGGGCTGTAGCTCACACCTCCGCGTCCACGGGGGCCGGGATCCGAGTGTCTACATTCCTGACACATCAGTGAGGGGAAGCTGCCCCGTGGCAGGGGGGCGGGATTGCCAGGCCTCCTGGCTGTGCGTGTGCAGTGTTTTGAAATGTAGGTTTTATTATTGTCCAGGGTGGTGAGACCGGCCGACCAGAAGGCAATGCCCCTGAAGGAGCTGGTTTCTCACAGGTCTCAGGAGGAGGGGCCACCACACGGGCCTCGCGGGGAAGGGCCTGGGCCAGGCAGGAGGGGAAGGGAAACGTGGTCAGGAGCCTTCACCGTGGCTTCTAGGGGCAGGGCCAGCAGGCTCAGGGCTGGCTGGTCTGCCAGGCACCAGGCTGTCAGGCACCTGGCCCGGGGTGGGGCCGGGGAGTGCTGGGTGTGCTGGCCCTGGAGGGGGAGGGCGGGGGAGGGTAGGGAAGACAGCTCGAAGCCAAGCCGAGTCTCTTACTCTCCGCAGGAATCAGCCAGCCCTGGGAGGAGCCCAGACGGCAAAGCCTGAGACCCAGAATCAGCGCTGGAGCTGGGAGTGACGGAGGCGGCCGGGCCTGGGGCCCTGGGCTGTGCAGGCAGCTGCAGCAGGGCCGGGCGCTAAACCCAGCCTGGTTCCCCTCGGTGGCTGCTCAGATCGGATAGGAGGAAGGGCTGCCTGAATTCCTCCTACTGGGTCTGAGCGGCCTTGCTGACAGCCCCTGACTGCTGGGTTCACGCATCACTCTGCACCTGGAAAGAACTTTCCAGAAATGCAGCTCATTCTCCCACTCCTGCCCGCGTCCCTGCCCTGTGGGACTGGGGTGCTTTTCCTTGCACAAGGAGCTGGTTTGGGGTGTGGGGAGGAGGGCAGGGAGAGGTCCACGGGAGGGGTCCCAGGCCCCTCCTCAGAGCTGGGCAGCATGGACCCTGCCCCTCTGGTCCCCTGCCTGGGCATGGCCCGGGCACCATTGGCCCTGGCAAGGCCCTTTCAAAGAGAAGATGAAGGCCCTAGCCTGTGTGGCTCAGTGGTTGCAGTGTTGGCCCTCAGACTGCAGGGTCTCGAGTTCGATTCGGTCAAGGGCATATATCTCCATTGCGGGCTCAGTCCCTGACCCCAGTCAGGGTGCGTGTAGGAGGCAGCCAATCGATGTGTCTCTCTTATATAGATGTTTCTCTCTCTCAGTCTCTCCCCATCCCTTCCACTCTCTCTAAAAATCAATGGAAAGATATCCTCAGGTGAGGATTAACAACAACTACCAAAGAGGAAGCACATCCTCTGAGGTGGCGGGGGAGGGGTGCAGGCTCTGTGCTCCTCGTGGGGGTCCAGCCCCTGCCCCTTGGGCCCAAGGCATCTATTCTCCCTGCCAGCACCTGGGCGACAGCCACCGACGCCCTCACGGGGATGTCCGAGTGCTGCCATGTATGTGTGCTTCGTGACAAAACCTACCACCAGACCGCCAGGACGGGGGTCCCGTGTGATGAGACTGTGAGGGTGACAGGGGCAGAGGAGCTGAGAAGCAACCGCCGGTGTTGGCACCTCGACGGCCCTCTTCCTGTGCCACCGGGGCCTGGCCCTGGGGAGATGCGGATTCTTCGTCCTTCACTTACAACAAGATACGACACGGTCAAGCCGACAGGAGAGGGCATGTCAGCAGCTGTCCTATTGAGGCCCATCTACCCTTCATGTTGTCATGGGCTACGTGTCCCCGGATTCCCATGTTGAAGCCCTGACCCCCAGCCCCTCAGCATGTGACTGTATGTGGAGTTGGGTCTTTACCAAGGTGGTTACATTAAAATGAGGCCATTAGGGTGGTTCTGACCCCCTAGGACTGGTGTCCTTACAGGAGATGAGGACACGCACACACACGGAGGGGCGACGACACGGGGACCCGGGGAGCGGACAGAGTCTGCCCCAGGCCTGCTCCTCTCCTGCAGGCATGAGCGTGCGGCGGGACCCGACCCATAGTACCTTGCTCCTGGGAAAGAGGATTCGTTGGTCAGGTCCGACGTAAAGGAATCCTTCCGTCCCACTCTGCAAAGAAATTAAGTCCTCAGCGACTTGCATTTTATTTCCTTTTGGATTTTAATGTATCAGTTTCCCTGAAGGTGGGTGCCCGGGAAGCCAGCAGGGAGTCCCGCTGGGGGAGGGGCCGCAATGCGGTGGGATGGCCCCTGCATTCCTGCGGGACGCCTCACTCAGCTCCCTCAGGCTGTGACTGTTCCGAGCTTTTCAACCGCAGGCGAGTAGCATCGTTGCAGAGTCCTGACGCGTTCCACAGTTTCCTCTGATGAAATCAGCCATCAGTTGCAGCTGAGGTGATTTCCAACCTGATCTGCATAAGGTAGGGGTTTATGGGCTCAGCTCTGAGCGAGGAAGGAATAAACTCCCGGTGACGTCAGAGGACGGCCGAGCCTGTGCCATGACGCGGCGGGGACCAGATGACAAAGGGCTCCCTGTGCCTCTGTGCCGCCCTCTCTCTCCCTGTCGATCAGACATGGCTCTTGGGGTTTTGGACCGGCCCGGAGAGGCCCCAGGCAGGGGCAGAGGCACCAACCAGAGAGAATAACCTCACTGCGTCCCATGAGCCAACGTGTGAGGCCGTTGTCCGAGATAGCTGCGGCCTGTCCGCCACCTGGGAGCCAGGGCCTGGGGCCCTGGACGCGCTTTTCATGACTCAGGTGGAAGGCTGGCATTCGGGAGGGCGTGGCGAGTGCCTCCGGAACTGGGACAAGGTCAGAGACAGGCTGTCCCCGCGTGAATGAGCGAATGAGCGTGGACCGAAGGCTCCCTGCAGCAGCTGCCGCTCCACAGCTCCTGGGGGACCTGATGGGTCACGTGGGGTGGTGGGAGCGCACGTGTGGGGTCCTGAGAGCAGGTGGTCGGGGGAGGGCTGGTCACCTGCTGGGAGCCTGGACAAAGGGCTCAAAGGCCTCAGCCTCCGTGCTGCCCTGCAGAGGAGTGTCCTCCCAAGGACCCGGCCCTGCCACCCACAGCAGGGAGTCGGTCAGGTTGAGGGTGTGTCTCAGGCGCCCTCAGAGCCACACCTGGGGAGAGGCCTGGGCAGGAAGCCCAGTCCCAGGAGCTCCTACTGTGCCCTCTGGCCGTCTTCTGGCTCAGGCTCAGACCCTGCTCCTCTTCCCTTGGACCCTTGTGTCTCTCTCCTGGGCACTCACGTCCCTGGGCTGACGGGGTGGGGGCACCTTTGCCTGCTGTGGTCCTCCCTGATCTTTTCAGACCTGCAAGGCCAAGACCTACCCTGTAGACAGCCAGGCCCAGCCCCGGCCGCTTCCTGCAGCCAGGGGACCTGCCGGGCGAGCCAGTTGACGGCCGGCTGACCTCGTCCTAATGGGCCTCAGGACCACAGTCTTCCTGACAGGAAGCACGTCCAGCAGGCCCAAGAGGCAGCCTCCTGTGCATATTGCAACAGGCGTGTTTACACGGGTTAGCCAAGTGTACGCTGGCACGACTTCTGTCACGCCGCCCGGAGGCCTGCAGCGATGCCAGGTGGCTGCGAAGGGAAGTGGGAAAGGATACTGGGGGTGGGGGGCGCTGGGGGCTGTGCGGGGGGCCAGAGGAGGGGCTGGCAGAGGGAGCTATGTATTCACATGTGAGTCCGTGTGCAAGTGTGTGTGTGAGTACATCTGTGAGAGTGTGTGGGAGAGCGTGGGAGTCTGTGCTGGGGGCATGTTTGGGTCCCTATTGACCCTAAGGGAGGTATTTGAAATCTATAAAGCAAGAAAATTCAATCACATGGACTGAACATACTAAAATTACAAGAAGGTAGCATGGTCCCCAAATCACAAACATAGGGACCTGCATTGCTGCTCTGTGACAGCTCCAGCCCCTCCCTCCCTGCTATGCAGACCCCAGGACAAACCACAGGGTGGTGGGGAGGCATCATACTCCCTGTCAATGCCGAGCCCCCCCCCCCCCAAGAAATTGGTGACTCTGCAAAGCAGCCCCGGAGGGGTAGCGGGAGGGTTACGTGGGGGCACAGCCCCTGTGTGCCCCTGCTCTCAGGTCCTGTCCGGCTCCGAGTCAGCAGCAGCAGGACGCTGTGGTGTGGAGATAGCTGAGTCTCTGCTGGGCTCCCTCCCTAGAGGTGGAGGAAGAGGAAGCGGCTCTTTGTCTGACCGCTGAGCTGGGACATCCCTTCTCCCTTGGACTCGGACCAGGACTTAGAACGTGGGCGCTTCTTGTTCTCAAGGCTTCACACTGGGACTGAATTCACCACCAGCTCCCAAGTCTCCGGGTTGTAGACAGCAATTTCAGGACTTGTTAGCCTCCCAAATCATGTGAGCCAATTCCTCACAACAGATCTATCTGTCATCTATCTATCTATCTATCTATCTATCTATCTATCTATCATCTATCATCTATCCAACTCTATCTCCTTACCTACTTATCTACCGACCTATCAACTGGTTCTATGGTTCTGTTTCTCTGGAGGACCCTGGCTAATACAATGCCTGTCTGGGAAGGGATGCTTCCATTGAACGGGTCCCTATCCCAGTAGGCGACACCCTGTTCCCACCTCTGCCCCTCCAAGTCACCTCCCACGTCTGCTCTGTGGCCCTGACGACACCTCCTCCTGGGCAGGGGCTCTTAGGGGGACAGGATTGAGCAGGCCTGTACCCTGAGGGCTGGCAGGGCCCTGCATGCTCTCTAAGTGCCCTCCTCCAGGGTAGGGGGAGGGAGTGAGATCCCTGCAGTCACTGGGAACACAGGTGCCCCTGTGAGCGCCCCACACCCTCCACTGCTCTCCCTGCCGCAGGCCCCTCCCAGCTCTCATTCCTGGCAGCTGTGCAAAAGGAATGTGTCCTCCTGGCCCATGGTTGTGCAGCCCTGTTATCAGGAACCTCCGAGATGCTGTTACCCTTGAATTTAAACACAATGACATGACTTGGGATCCTGACAGTGAAAGGGGAAAAGCAAAGATTTAACGGGGACATGCTCCCTCGGGGTTTTAGAATCTACCCCTTGGAAAGGGGAAGAGAAGAGGGAGGAGAGGGAAGAGAGGGCGGGCCAGGGCCGGAAGGACAGTGCCAGGAGCTGGACCTTGGGTCTCACGGGGCCGCCTGAGCTCCTCCTAGGCAGGCGGTGCCAGCCACCGGGGCGGTCAGGCCACCGTCCTATTTACCTTTAGTTCAGGTTAGCGAGTTCAAAGTGACACTCCTTATCGCGTTTTTAAAATTGAGAGAGGACTTGAGACCTACTCATGCAGAAGCAGCCCTTGGCATGCTCTTTTATTGCTCAACCACGGCGACTTTTATAGGCACAGTCACGCTTTTATTAGGTCCAGTAACAGTTCCTTTGCTTTAGCATTCAGCTGTGACGTCTATAGCAATAAAGATAAGCTTTTAAATGCCAGTTCATTTACTTAAGCACACGACACGGGTTTCTTTCCTCTTCTGCTTGATGGCATTGTTCACACCCCAAAAATGTGGCCCGACAAACCCTCTGCGTTAGCGTGATTCTGCAGTGATACTGTATGTAAGGGCGCCACAGCAGTGACACAGCCCAAAAGACAGTCATTGGCATCCAGGAAAACAACAACACAAAGACGAACATAAGAAAGATATGCATAAGGAAGATGTAAAGAATTAATATCCTTAGTATATAAAGAGTTCTCAGAATAAATAAGAAAAGCATTTACCCAAAGGAGTCTGTGGCTCCTCATCTGGTCACAGTTCTAAGGAACCACAGCCTGGTCAAGGCATGTGTGTAAGGCAACCAATCAATGTGTCTCTCTCACATCAATGTTTCTCTCTCTGGCTCTCCCTCTCCCTTCCACTCTCTCGCAAAAAAAATAAAAAATGAATCAATAGAAAAATATCGTCAGATGAGGATTAACAAAAAACAAACAAACAAGAAAAAGAAAATTCATCCATTCATCAGTTAGGAATGAAGAGATTTGGAAAAGATGCCCATGACAGCATTGTTTATAATAATGTATAAAAACAACAAGTATCTAAAAATAGCAAAAATGTTAAATAAATGTTAGACATAATGGGATATTAAACATTGATAATAGTGTCTTTAAATAAAATATGATACAAGGAAATTTCCTTTATATAAATAGAAAAAAACCCCCAGGATATATAGCTGTTCATATTCATAGAATATTATCCACATTTATTTTTTAAAAGATTTACAACATATATTTATATAAGTAGGAAAAATATACCAAAATAATAATAGTGGTGGCATCTGGGTGGTAGAATTATGGATTATCTTAACTGTTATTATTTTGTATAGACTCTTATATATATTTCTTACAACAGTCATATTCAATTTTATGACCACTCCACACAGAGACCGCAAACCTTACTGCATGTGAAGAGATAAAACAACTTAAATCTGATTACGGGGCTGGTGTTTCCGGGTGAAACCTGAGGAGTAAAACGACCTTGTGATTGTTTCCAAAACCTTCCAGGACTCCATCCACCCGGAGAGCCTGCGCAGCCCAAGTTTCAATGCGAAGTGATGTTTTTTGGTCTCTGCCTCCCGCACTGCTTCCTTCTTCCTCTCCCTGTTTATCTGTTTGGTTTGGGACTGCCCCAGAGAAGAGCACCTGCACCCCCCTCCCCACCCCCAGGTTGCCTGACCGGCTCTAGGTCAGCCAGTTGGAGGAAGGCTGCAATCTGACCCCCACCCGTCTCCCCGCTCACAGGGCAACACTCCAATAAGGATCGAGTGTTCAGGGACAGACGTGTCACCCAGCCTGGCCCTCTGACATCTCTCCAGACTTATGCCACAAGCTGACCACATTTCCCTGCCCTCGCAAAACCTGTGGAAAGCCCCACAAGTTTTCCTAAGTCCCTGCGCATTTAGGATCAGGCCTTGACGGGCAGGGCTGCGCTTTACTGATTCCTTCTCTCCACCCTCCTCCCCTCTGAAGCTCTGCAGGGGTGGGTAGAGACCTGGCGGGTCCACTGAGCCATCTAGAAGGAAGGTGGGTGTCACCTGGGGAGGGCAGGCTTGCCCCTGACCACCAGGAGCCCTGAGACCAGCTGAGCCCTGCTGGGCGTCCACCTTTGCCCTTATGGCAATGACATTGTCCCCAGGCCTTAGCCCACACCAGAGAGGTCCCGGCTGGGCTCCAGCTGTGGCGCTGGCCCTGGTGGTGCCAGCTAACTCCCCAGGACCACCCTGGCCACCCTGTGCCGGAGAGAGGGCAGCTCCACCCAAGGCACCAGATGGGCTGGGTGGAGCCAAGGTGACTCAGGGCCCCAGCCTACTGGTTCTCAGCCCCATGGCTGGAGGGTGGGGTCTCCATCAGGTCCCCCTCCCCTAGGGACCCAACCACGGGCATCTCCTGGGCTGCAGGGCCCCCAGTGCCCTTGGGGGAGAGCTCCCCTCTGTGGGTTGCTGACTGGTAGGGCCAGAGCTGGACCAAAGGACCAACAGATGGGGGTGAGACTGGAGCCCCTCCACCCGCTACACCTCACAGGATGCTCCCACAGCACCTGAACCCACCACGGACCTGCTCATGGCCGGTCAGGCCGACCGTCAGGCAGTGCTCCCGGTGGGGCTGCCTGCGCCCGGGCTGGGACCGCTGAAGGGGAAGCCACGTGTCCTGCTAGGGGCTCTGACTCCTGGCCTGTCCACGCCTCTGCAGCCCTCGATCTGGCGACCCCACACCTTTCCACAGAGGAATGTTCTGCCTTTGGTCCCCACAGCTGGGCCCAGCCCAGGGGTGTTCAAGGCCTAGTAACCCCGAGAACACTCATTTTCATTGTTATCAGAGGGGGGCAGACACCCTAGGAGGCCCGGTTCTACAGAGTCCCAAAGTGGGAGCGCAGCCTGACCACAGCCAGAGCCAGGCACGTGTGCACATGCACCCCTGACACCCACACATGCATGTTCCAGAGACATGCTAACAGCACACACACATGCCACACACACACACACAGATACCCACGCACATATGCCACATGCACCCACATAGATACCCACACACATATGCCACATGCACCCACACAGATACCCACACACATATGCCACATGCACCCACATACACATGCCACACACACAGGCACCCACAAATATGCCACATGCACAGGCACCCACACCACCCACGCTTCTGTCTACCCTAAGGTGTGTGCTAGTGCCAGCTCTCTGAAAGAAGTGTGTCACCTGGGGGAGGAGGGGAGGGCTTTGGGTCTGTCTGTGCTGTTTGATTTCTGCAGGAGAACGTGATCATGCGTCACAGGTGTAATTTAAAATAGAAGTAAAAAGGCTGTGAGTCAAACCTGACCCGGAGCTGTGCTGGGCCTTGTCTTCCTCTATCAATGGACACGGGTTGTTTCTACCTTTTGGCTGTTGTGAATAATGCCTCCATAAACACGGGAATATAGGTTCAAGTTCCTGTTTTCACTTCCTTTGGGTCTATGCCCAGAAGTGGGATTGCTGGATGATATAGTGATTCTATGTTTAATTTTTTGAGGAGCCCCCACCCCCATTTTCCACAATGGCCGCACCATTTTACATCCCCACCAACAGTGCATGAGGATTCCAACTTCTCCACATCCTCGCCAACACTTGTTATTTTCAGGTTTTGTAAAAATAAAATAAAGTAATAGCCATCTTAATGGATGTGAAGTGATAGCTCATTGTGGTTTGGGGGGCCTGGCTTCTTAAAGGTGATGGAGATGAGACTGTGGGTGGGGCTCCCAGGAACAGAGCGCTGACAGTGGGGACGGAGAACTGGGCTGTGAGCTTCTCGGAGTCCACAAAGCCCAGCTTCCTCCACTGCTCTGACCGTCCAGGTCCTGGGAGCCAGCTCCAGGCTGCCAGTCGCGGGCAGTGAGGGGAGACAGAGCTTTCAACCAGTGTTCCTTAGTCAGCCAGGACCCTGTGGGGTATTTGCAGGCCTGGACGGAGGGTGGACTTCCTGAGAGAGCCGGGATTCCCTCTGTCCCTATGGAACTGGCACGGAAGCGGGCTGGGTCCCCCACACCTCTGTGCTTCCTCTCTTTGCTTAGGTGCTTAAGCTTCTTTTGGATTCTGCATGGAGCAAGTCACATCACATCATCCCATAGCACCTCATGTCTGCTGTGGGGCAGCACCGAGGGAACGAAAGGTGGCCCGCCCCACCCTCTGTCCACCTGTATACCGGTTCTGAGAAAGCTGAAGCCACCCAGCTGGTGTGGGGATCTGCGAGTTCTGTGGCTCCAGTCCTGGTGGTCCAGGTCCTGAACCTGACCTGCTGATTTTGTGTCTGTGGTTTATTTGAGAGAAGAAGATTCTAGAGATTTCCTTCCAGGTCCTGGGGTGACCCAGAGCTTCTTGGCCTTGAGGCAGGTCTGGTTATACCTTCTTCCTGGTACAGCTGGTCTTGAGAGGGTCTGCCCACCTTAAAACTCTCACCTTGCCCTGCTGATGTGGCTGAGTGGTTGAGTGTCGACCTATGAACCAGAAGGTCATGGTTTGATTCCCGGTCCGGGCACATGCCCGAGTTGCAGGCTTGATCCCCAGTAGGAGCTGTGTAGGAGGCAGCTGATCGATGTTTCTCGCTCATCGATGTTTCTATCTCTCTCTCCCTCTCCCTTTCTCTCTCTGAAATCAATAAAAGTATTTTTTTAAACAAACAAACCTCTCACCTTGTTCTAAGCAGTTTTCCCCCTTCACCAAACTTTTGTTCACCTGGCTTGGCAGGGATCCCGGTGGAGATGCAGCATGACGAGGGTGTGCTGGTGCCAATGGACTTTGTCTCGTGTTGTCCCGCGTCCTCTATCTTCGCATGGCTCATTAGTTGTTACAATGTCCCTGTGAGGCATCATTATGGGGCGCTGGGTCTGGGGACTAGTTTATGGTCGTTTTTATTAGTTGATGCTGATGACGTCTTTGCCTCCTCATGACGTAAATATCTGTGTGTTCTTTTTAACCGAACAACACAGCAACAATACCAAAAACCATGGGAACCAGGTCAGGAAGAATGAGAGCACCTTTGCAGTCTGCACCAAAAAACCTGGATGCGGAGCCAGGTGCCACGTGTCCTCCTGGGCAATCAGAGGCCTCGGAGTCACCTTGGCAACGGAGACAAGGTGCTTGGCTGCGGTGGCCTGAGCCTGCAGGTCTCCAGTGGCATCTGGAAGCCCCTCAGGTTATGAGATTCCCCTCTTGGCCTCCAGAATCCCCGGGCTGGGCGGTCCTGGGCAGGCTGGGTGGTCCTGGGCAGGCTGGACCAGGCATCTAGTTTTGACCTGGCTGCTCTCAGACAAGCAAGTCTTCCAGAGAATGTGGGAGGAAAGGCCCCTCAGAGTGACCAAGATGTCAGCATGGAGGGGGAGAACAGGAGGGGTTAAGCAGGGGAAGGTACAGCCGCTTCCAGGCGGACGACTAACACTCATGGTCTGATGACCATTTAATGACACGGCAAGTCCTTGATGCGGCTGCGGAAAAGGCAGGATGAAGTCATGTGCTGACAAAGACCGGGTGGAAAACTCTGAGCCGTCAGTAGCATCACCAGTGCTTTCTGTTCTCATCTTTACGTATTTCTGTCGTTTCTGCCGAACATTTTCTACTGACTTTTCTACTTGGAAGAACAAAGTGCTAATACTAGTATATAGGAACATGCTCTGCTGAGGGAGCAGTTCATCTTGTTCCCACTTGACGCTGCTGGGATCCATCTAGAAGCCGCTAGGACCTCTCCCCCCGGGGCCTTCCCCACTCAAGCAGAGACCCCTTAGCGGCAAATTCGTGGTGTTGCCAGGAGGAGCCCCCTGGGAGAGACGGCACCGTTGGCCTCTGCCCTGCCTGCATTCTCCAAGAGCAGGCTCCCACCAAGGGTTTGGGACCACAGCCCACGCAGGGCTGTTCAGGAAGGGCTGGGAGCAGAAGCCAAGTGCACCTGGGTCCAGGGACTCTTTCTGGGAAGTTAGCTTCAGCCCTTTGGCTGCAGTTTTTATTCAACGATGACAAAATGTTTCCAAACTGCCAGCCAGGTGTTTGCAAACACCTAAGACCTTTCAAAAGAGTCAGGGCCAGGCCTGGGGCAGGTGGGTGGGAGGGGAAAGATGAGCAGGAGGAAAGCTCTGAAGTCACAAAAGGAGAGACAGCAGGTGAGTGTATTCAGGTCCCTGGTTTCTTCGTTCTTCTTCCTGTTCTCCTTGGAACAGGTTGGCGGGGCTCCCAGAAGGGGACAAAAGCGGTGGTAAACTCTTCAGCTAGAAGGAAGTAAAAATATTCCTCCAAATTCTCACTGGATAAACCTGGGACCGATAACGCAAGGGCATTTTTGAAGGACAAGAAAGACTTGGGACTACTAGTGCCCTTCAAAGGCCTTTTCAAACAAACTGACCCACAAACCTCCACCCAGGGAGGGGGTGATTGGGAAATATTTGGTCAGGCCGGCGATTGTGCACCGGGGGAAGCACGTCCAGTCCCTTCGGTGCCCTGGCAGGCGAGCCACGCCTCGGGCAGCTGCACACGCACACCACAGCCTCCCCTCTGCCAGGTTTCCCAGTTCTGTATCCATTTCACTTAACTCTTCCCCCACCCGCTTCTGTGAAGTGGAGTTTTTATTTAATGCAAGGAAAAATTATTCTGGGTTGGATGCAGAATTGATATCCTAAACTTCTGCTTTCCTAATACTTAAAAAAAAATGCCCTCTGTCCTAACTGGTTTGGCTCAGTGGATAGAGTGTTGGCCTGCGGACTGAAGGGTCCCGGGTTCGATTCCAGTCAAGGGTATGTACCTTGGTTGCGGGTGCATAGCCCCAGTAGGGGGTGTGCAAGAGGCAGCTGATCGATGTTTCTAACTCTCTATCCCTCTCCCGTCCTCTCTGTAAAAAAATCAATAAAATATATTTAAAAAAAATTTTTTTTAAATGCCCTGTCTTTCCTTAAAAAACATTTATTTTGTGATGAGCCATAAAGAACATAAAGTGAGCGGCGATATCAATGCAAATTGTCCTCCGCGGCCACTTTCATCCCCTCCCCTCTAGTGGGATAAGGCCACCAGGCACCTCAGTCCTAAGGGGCATAGGTCCTGCCCCACTGCTCCCTGCAGCTCTGGGGAAACAGTGAGGTGGCCCAGATAGCAGACAAAATGCCATGGAACCCGCCAAGCGTCCAGTCTGCCAAGGGGTGAAGTCCTCACCCACTGTTGACTGCACCCATTGGCCCTCTCTGGGGGGTTGCTCCACCGAGGGCAGGGTCCTCTCGCTGTCTGTGTACAGATCACGCAGCTGGTCTTCCGTGGACACTTGTCCGATGAACGCACACACAAATGGGCCATCATGTGCTGCACTGAGGGTGTTGCTGACTCTGGTCCCAAGAACCTGAGAACCTGAAGACCTCAGGGAACAGAGTCCATTTTCACGTGGCCCTCTGGAAACCAGCCTGCTGGGCCTTTCTTCCTCTCTCCAACCTGCTGAGTTCCTTCATCAAAGTGGCTCCATCATAAAGGACCCAGACCTTCCTCTGCAATCAGCTGGCTTCTGACAGTGTATCTGATGGAGAAAGGCCAGGGCTCGCCTGGGGTGGGGC